TCTTACATCATCAAATTTTAACTATATCTCTTGACCTCTCTCTTGGTAAGATATTTTATGTCTCTACCCTTCCACTATGGTTTGAATGTGTTTTTTTCATGGGTTTGTTTTTGAGTCAGAGTCTGGTTCTGTTGCTCAGGCTAGAGTGCAGTGGTATCACCACAGCTCACAGTGACCTTAAACTCCTGGGGTCAAGGGATCCTTCTGTCTCTGTGTCCAGATAGTTGGGATTACTAGGCACATGCACTATGCCCAGCTAATTTTTCTACTTTTGTAGAAACAGAGTCTTTCTATTGCCCAGGCTGGTCTGAAACCTTCCACCTTGGCCTCCTCAAAAGCTAGGATTACAGGAGTGAGCCACCATGCTCTGCTTGGTTTGAATTTTCCCTCCTAACTCATAAATAAGAGACTTAATCCCCAATGCAACAGAATTGCATTGAGAGGTGAAGCCTAATGGGAGGTATTTATAAGGGATTAATGGCCTTATGAAAAGGGCTTATGAAAAGAGAGAGTGGGGTCTCTCTTCCGCTCTTTGTCACGTGAGGAACAGAGGTCCTTCCCTCTGGGGGATGCGGTGTTTAAGGTGTCATCTTGGAAATGGATACCCAGTTCTTAGCAGACACTACACCTGCCAACACCCTGATCTTGGACTTTCCACCAATTTCTAGAACTGTGAGAAATAAATCTCTGTTCTGTATAAATTACTCAGTCTCAGCTATTGTTATAGCAGCACAAAAGAAACTAAGACACCTTCCTTTACCTCTTTTCTCCCTTCTGTTTTCTAAATCAAATGTCATCAAGGTTGAAAAGATTTATGTTCTGTTCTTTAATCATAATTACTGATCAAAAAACAATAAATGGCATTTATACTATGTAAACATGCTTTACCTTATAGCTACTCAGCGTCCTCTAATTGCATTTCTTTCACTAGATATGCCACTTTAATCCAAGATAGGATTAAATGTATGAGAAATTTATTAGAGGAGATTACCTGTGAGAGAAAATGGGCAGAGAGTAGGGAGACGTTGGGAGAGGCATCTGACTAAGAAGCAGGTCCGATTCCATATGTACAAGAGACAGAAGGAAGAACAGTTGGGTGGATGCATCTTAGATTATAGTATAGTTTTAAGGAAAATTTGGCAAGGTTGGTGGGAAGTGCTTGTGCCCAAGTTGCCTGTCAAGAGTTCTGTATCTTCTAGGAAGAAGCCTGATTTAGCATCCCTCTCATGCTGGGAAATGATGGATATCAGTATATAGTGATCTGGGAGATGCTTGTCATGTCTACCACATTAGGGTTACAATATTATTACCCCTGAACTTCTCTTTTTTTTTTTTTTTTTTTGAGACACAGCCTCAAGCTGTCCCCTTGGGTAGAGTGCCGTAGCATTACAGCTCACAGCAACCTCCAACTCCTGGGCTCAAGCGAGTCTCTTGCCTCCGCCTCCCAAGTAGCTGGGACCACAGGCGCCCGCCACAACGCCTGGCTAGGTTGCAGCCGTCATTGTTGTTTGGTGAGTCCGGGCTGGGGATTCGAACCCGCCACCTTAGGTGTACATGGCTGGCGCCTTAGCCGGTTGAGCTATAGGAGCCGAGCCACCCCTGAACTTCTCAAAGGAGACTGTTCTAATTGTCAAGGCCAAAGGGATTCTTGTTTCCTACAATTTTCCCATTACATAAAAGCATGCCACATTTTGTTTTATATTTCTGACAAGTTCTTCCAGCAGTAACTGTGACCCATGGGCCTGCATGTGTTGTGGTTAATGTCATGTAGGCATAGTTACATCATGGCCAGATAAACTCTGTCAAATAAGGCTTAATCTGGTGTAACAGATATTATTGATTACAGGTAGAAACGTCAAGTGGGGGAGAGTACTACTGAATAAGGAGGCAGGAGAAAAAACATATGGTCCACAAATTAGCTGTGAAATCTTAGTCACATCAATAGTCTAGGTCTCAATTTTCACATCAATAAAGTTGGTTGGAGTATGCATTTTCTCAGGGTCCTCCTGGTTCTAAAGTTTTGTGGGTTTACGAGGTTGTTCTTGAACTGAAGTAATTTGCAATGTGGACTCAATCTAGAAAGGAATAGTGATTGCTTATGCTATCTTTGAAACTCTGGTTGATAGCATGTGATTAACTGCTAAGACAATTTTACCAGAGAGGATAGAAAATACCTTTCAAAGCTCAACTACTCTGAAGCTGGTTTTCCTGTCAATTTATCATTTGTTGGAAGGGGTTTTCTTAGCTTTTATGAGGCAGGGAGCATAGCGTTAGTCCTGAGATTTGACAGGAGTCACTTCTTTTCCTCAAGGGTCAGAGTGCTAGGAAGGGCAATCACAGCCATTTCCCTAGGCTTGTCTAACAGGCAAGGAAAAGAACCTGGGCTTGTCATTATAGATCTTATCAAGCTTGACAGGATGAACTTATCTAAGTAATAGGATATGGACCTATTTAAGAGGCTTTGAGTTAATTATTGTAATAAGGGTAGCTTTCCAAGTTAGGAAACGGAAACCATGCAATTCAACTCAGGCAACTTTCACTGGGCCTATTATATACAAGTATATGATGAGGAATTCAAATACAAACCAGGTATTCAGGAATTTAGGATCTCTTGGCTTAAGGCAATTAGCCTAATTTTATTACAATTATATTTTTCACATTGTAGATCAATGGCTCTCGAATTTGCTGCAAAATAGTTTCACCAGGGAAACTCAAGCATCATGCTTGGGTTGGGTGTGGTGGCTCATGCTTGTAATCCTACCATGCTGGGAGGCCAAGGTAGGAGAATAACTGGAGCTTAGGAGTGGGACACCAATCTGAGCAAGAGCCATACCCTGTCTCTACTAAAAATAGAAAAATTAGCAGGTGCCCACCTGCAGTTTCAGCTACTTGGGAGCCTGAGGCAGGAAGATTCGGTGAACCCAGGAGATTGAGGTTGCTGTGAGCTAGGTTGATGCCAGGGCACTCTAGCCTGGGGCAAGAGTGAGACTCAGTCTCAAAAAAAAAAAAACTAAAAACCAAGAAGCCTGGATCACATGCCACACCAGTTAAGTATTTGGGGGTGGGGAGAGGCAGGGAGAGAGGGTGTTGCACCTGTTTTGGGTTTTTTTTAGCCTGTTAGGTAATTCCAGTATACAGTCACGTTTAAGGAACAATTTTATAGGTTCTTACTACTCAAAATGTAGTCAGAAGAATAGCAATATTATCACTAGGGAGCTTGTTTACAGCGAAGGGTCTCAGGCCCCTTGGGAAACCCACTGAATCAAAAAACTGTCTTTCCATAGGAGTCCCTTGATCTGCATACACATTCAAGTTTGAGAAGTGCTGTGGTACACCATGTTTTCCAAAGATTTGCTCTGCATCTAAGCACAGCTGTTGTCTACTAACTTCTAAAAACAAATTAATTGAAGCAACTAAACTTTTCTATGATTCACTGTCTGAATGGCCCCTGAATGTGAGTTTTTGGTACTATATGGCAAGTTGTACGCTTTCAAGTGGAAGAAATGATCTACTTCATTAGTTAATATCCTCAAATATTTGAAAGGGGTGAAAGCTTCTACTGAGAGGTCAGAACCTTGGTCTTGAGTTCCTGAAATCCTTGAGTAAAGATCATTCCTTTCCTTGTTCTTCCTTCTTAAACATATGAAACAGACAAAATAAATAAAAACACAGAGAATTAAGTAAAACAAAACATTTGAAAATTTAATTCATGACATACACTGTAGTATATACAAGCTTGAATGTGCATAGAAAAAAGACCTGAACAGATACACATCCAATTGTTAAGTTTATCTTGAGAGTGTGGAATTGGGGTGGAGTGGGAGTAGTGCTTTTATTTTGAAATTCTTATACTTTTGTACTTTTTGAAATTCTATGATGAGAATGTATTACTTCGATAAAAACTATAACAAAAATTTAAAAAATAACAGAATAATTTTTGAGCTACACTGGAGGAACGGAGAATTAAATCACATGGCATACCTTCCCATATTGACGTGGCACACAACTGTGTAGTCTACAAGCAAAGAAACATCAGAGAAGCCAATTTGGCAACATCACAATTTTAAAAGGTCCCCTAGAATAAAGGCCCTTAGGCAATGACCCCTCAAGATGGACAGTATGGGCATTAAAACAGAAGGCAGAGATTACTTACTTCTGGAGGGGCTACAGGAAAAAATGACAACCTGAAAACTTTAGACAAAAGAAAAAGCTTCACAGAAGTCACTCTGAAATACTAGAACAGTTAGCCAAAGGCCATAAATTGGGGGTATGAAAACACTACCCAGCCCAGACTCGAAACTAATACACTAAAATCTTAGTGATCTAGGGATGTAGGTTAGGGACATCAACTTTTCCATTTGTCACTTCTTCCCAATTTCTCAGATGGTCTGCTTTCTATCTCAATGATTTTAGTTTAATACTGCAGTTTTAATTGAAAGGAATAAAATTAACTTCATCTAGATTCAATGTAAATTTTTCTAGTTAGAAGAAAAACAAACTTGAGATTAATGATATTGTACATTATTCATTTTTTCCATAATTACTTCTACCCACTTAATATATTTTGGAAGATGAAATCTGTGATTTTGCATGTATGCCTAAAATTGTATATTATTTAAAATTTGAGAAAATCGTATCCTATTCCAGTTTCTTCTTCTTTTAACGAAGTCACCAAGAGATGATGATAAACTTTTTATTATTATGAACTTTTTTCCCAACAAAAAGACTCTTTAGGTGACCATCAGATTGACAGTGAAATATCCTTATGAAAGTCAAAATATTTGAAAATTCTTTTGCAAGCTACATAGTTAAGAGCTTAATGAAATGTTGTACTCCTGAGTTTTCCTAACCTAGATATCAAATGTTTGTGTAGGATTATATACAATAAATAAAGGAAATCTGCAAAAATTTAATCTGAAATTATAAATAGTAAAGATAAAAGGTATAAAGTGATAACAACATTATTTTCAAAGTTATAACAGCTGGAATGTTTCTGTTTCTCAATGAATTATAGTATTTTAATTAAAAAGAAAAGAGAAAGAAAACAACAAAGGATTCATCCTAATCTATATAAAGTGTTTATCACAATGTCTGGTACACTATAGCCATTTAATCAACATTGGCTCTAGAGTGAACAATGGATTAAAACAATAAGCAGAAATAGAAGAACCCAAAGTGGAAGGAAAAGCTTCGACCTAACTTCTTGGAGTACACCTTTAAATGGAAAGTCGGAGCTCACAAAGAGCAGTGAGGAATTCTGCATTTTCTGGATCTATCTTTTGGGCCCTCTCATAGTACTCAGCAGCTTGCCTCTTTTCTCCCTCAAGCTTATAAACAAACCCGAGGGCACTTAAACTCTGCACATCTAAAGCATTGTGACAAAGTCTCTTGGTAGCCAACTTCTTCAGAGCACTTGTCAGTTTGGTGCGTAGGGATGAACGGTCTTTGACCTTTAAAGCCTCTAAATAGTGATGGATGGCAGTATTTTCTGATTTCCGGTGAAATTCCTGAAAGCGGCCATAGTGATAGTGGATTTGATGTTTGTGATCATCAGTTATGTTCCCTAAACGGAGGGCTTTCCAGAATATGTCCTCAGCATTGCTATACTGGCCTCTCTCAGCATACATGTTGGCTAGGTCTGTGTAGGCAAATGCAAACATGGAGTCTCGTTCCACAGCTGCCTTGAAATGAAATATAGCAGATGCAATCAGCTCATCGACCTTCAGTTTATCTTTTCCTTTAGGTCTGTTGCGTGTGGCCTTCTTGATTTGGATCATCTGTGCCCTGTAGCAAAGTCCCATCTGGTGATGCAAGAAAGAAGAGGTTGGTGTCACTTCCAAGGCCCTTTTCAAAAGTTCAAGAGCTTTGTCCCAGGAATTTTTTCTCCTATAGAATTTGGCTGCATAACGAAGGACATAAGGCTGAGATGATATTTGGTCCAGGATTTCTTCAATATACTTTTCCCCTTCAGCTTCTGCATGTACATCTTGAAGCTTCAGTGCCAGAAAAACCTTAATGTAGGTGTTATCTGGGTTCAGGGTAACAGCCTTCCTCAGGGGCCCCAGAGAAAAGCTCTTTATAGACCCTTCTCTGTCAGAATCATCCAGCCGATAAACCGTGATGGCATAACCAATGTTAAACTCTGGATTGTCAGGTTCTGCTTCCAAAGCCTTCTCAAAGGCTGCTTTAGCCTTTTGGTAATACTTTCCTCCAAATTTCAAAAGTGCCCACCCTTTCTCACAGTCAATCTCAGGACGCTCCAATTTATAGTTAGAAGGACTGGACAATTTCTTGCAGACATTCCCTATCTTGTCTATATACTTCTGAGCTTCTCCAAGTTGGTCCATGTGATAATACACCCAGGCATAGTTTCCCCAAGTGACTAGACTTCGTACTTCTTCTTCATTTGAGTGTTCTCGCTGGATTATTTCTTCTGCTTGTTTCAAGCACTCTACGGCATCTTTATTTTGGCCTTTTAGGTGTTTCACATAGGCCAAAAGGTTATAAAGAGCAAGTCTGGATTTTGTGGTAAGAAATTCAAGCTGTTGTCCAATTGTATCTTCTACATCAAACAGATCAATGTCTTCTTTAAGCAGATTCCACGTAAAGTGACATTCTAACTCCAACAGAATGGCCTTCAAAGTCTCTTTTGGAATTGCACTGTCAAAGATAAAATCCTTTTTAGTTTTTAAAGAAATGAAAAAAACACAATTTTCTAAACTTTAAATAATATTCTTTGCTAACAATCAGTTTTATCCCTTATTTTATCTTACAGTTAAAGCACTAAGTTCCCATAACTTTATACCAGACTTTCTTCTATATACAGCTATGTTCTAGAAATATTTAAATTCTCACTGTTTATTGCAAAACCAGTTTTGGAGAGAAGACTGGGTATCTATTCCCTTTTTTAAAGTTACTAAGCCCTTGAAAATTAGGAATATATATATATTTAATAATTAACATAAAAATTCCATTTCTATAAGTAGTGAGAGAAAAAGAGAAGGTGAGAAGTAAGAAAGTAAGTACACTGAAGAGGACAGAGAAGCCACACAAATACTTAATTTTTCTGCAGAGAAAGAAAGAGGGACAGAAAGACAGACTCCCAAAGAAACAGACGTGAGTACCAAGAGAAGGGAAAAAGCTTAAGTTTAAGATATGCAAAAGGAGAATATACGGAATAGAGATTTAGAGGAAGATGAAGAAAAGGAAAAAGGAAGCTGAGTAGGTGTTTCTTTCTTTTTTTTTTTTTAAAGAGACAGAGTCTCACTTTGTTGCCCTCAGAAGAGTGCTGTGGCATCATAGCTCATAGCAACCTCCAACTCCTGGGCTTAGGCGATTCTCTTGCCTCAGCCTCCTGAGTAGCTGGGACTACAGGTGCCTGCCACAATGCCCGGCTATTTGTTGTTGAAGTTTGGCCAGGGCTGGGTTTGAACCCGCCACCCTCGGTATATGGGGCCGGTGCTCAACCCACTGAGCCACAGGCACCACCCAGCTGAGTAGGTTTTTAATATGAGTGCCACATCCTTCTGACTCCTGGGGTTAGAGGCAACAATAAAGGTTAACACCTATTATTAATTTATCTTTGCCCTTAACTTCAAGAAATATTTATAGAGTGCCCTATGTGCCAGGTACCATGTAATCTCTGCAAGGCCCACTGGGGGCACTGTGCGAAGCTGTGTGTATATTTCCCTTTCTGCTGCACACAGGACCTCTTTCCTTGTATAAATAATGTAAATGCATTTATATAAACGAGTATGGGCAACAACAGTAATATTTCTGTCAATCAACATTTACTGATCACTTCAGGTCACACCTGAGAGGCAATATTCTGTCATAGTGGACAAAGCACTCGTTCAGTAACAAAGTCCTTTCTTTAGGGTAACTTCATTCTGGGAGAGTGTAAAAGGGGAGCTGACAGAAAATAAATAGCATAATTCCAGATAGTAATAAGTGCTAAGAACTACAACAACAAAAAAATAGTATAATGGGACTGAGTAAAGGTGGTGGTGGGAGGTGTATACTTTAGTTATGAAAGTCAGGAAAGGGATAATTGAAATAAGGAAGCAATCACAAAAGATCTGAGGGCAGACTGGTTTAAGCCAATACTTCTTAACCAAGGTGGTTTTTGTCCTCCTCAACCCATAACCAAAGTGGTTTCTGTCCTCCTCAACCCAGGACATGTAGTAATGTCTGGAGACAATTTTGGTTGTCATCACTGGAGGACTGCTACTGGCATCTAGTGGGTCAAGGCCAGGAATACCACTAAATATCCTACAAACCCACTCCCAACAACTAAGAACTATCCAGCCAAAATGTCAATAGTGCTGAGGCTAACAAACCCTGGTCTGGGCCAAGGGATCAGCAAGTGAAAGGCCCCGATGTGGGAACCTTGGGAAGGGAAACTTGGGAAGGTTCAGGGGACAGAAGGAAGAACAGAATGGCTGAAATATAGTAAATAAAAAGGAGAGTAGCAGGAAATGAGGTTTGTAGGGCCTGACTAGCCATGATAAGAAATATAAATTTTATTCTAACTGCAACAGGAAATAGAGGAAGTCTTAAAGTAGGAAAACTATAACATCTGATCTAGTTTTAACAAATCACTCTGGCTGCTCTGTAGAGAATGGATGATAGAGGATCAAGAAAGAAAGATGAGAAACTGGTAGGGAAACCATTTATTCATTCAACAAATATTTATTGAGAGTTTGTCACAGGCAGGGTACTGTAGCAGATAGAGCAGTAAACAAAACACAAAAAACAATTCTGACTTCATTCAACTTATATTCTAAACACTTACATTCTAACACATGGCATGTACCACAAAGAAAAGAAAGAAGAAGGAAGGAAGGCATGTGTGAGATGATCTAAGTGCTGAGAAAATAGATAAAGCTGGAAAAGGGAATGGGAAGATAAGAGAGAGTCTGGAAGGTAGCTCAATTTTAATTAAGATATTCAGAACAAATCTCCCTGAGAGACATAAGGCAGCTGTTGAAGGAGAGAAGAGGTGATACAAACTTAGCAAGGAGAGGTGATACAAACTTAGAGGTGATGCCCAAATCCACAACAGGAGGTCAGGCTCCCTACCCATCACAGAGTGAAATAAACATCCACCTCTGTTCTTAAGATCCCTACCAGCCCACCCCAAAGAGGATGAGGGCTGCTCCAGCATTATGAATGTGGCTGTGGGATCTCAAAAGAACATTCAATCAAGCACTAATGTGCTTTGCCCAGGCTTTGTGGAATTTAGGTACAATTGGATACCACAAGAAGTTTTACTTTTAAAACTATTTAATATTTTAACCTTGTTTCTGGGAAGCTGATGAAGGTTATTGTGTCTAAACTGGCAACATTTATCCTTAGGTAAGTCCCTTCTTTTGCTAGGAAGAAGCAGTCTTTCATTGTCTGAGACCATCCCCCATGCCATGGGGAAACCCTCTTTCATCCTGGCCTGCATGTACACACAGTGTATTCCAACCCCTTTTCCTAGTTGTTTCTTCAAGCCACTTTCTGTTAGTTCCCTTTCTTCCTAAAAATGTTAAACTTCTTTTTAACTTATATTAATAACGGTTGACATTTACTGTGCAAATAGTACGTGATAAGCAGTCAACCCTTTCCATAGTCCCCAGAGATGGATGCCATTAATTTGTAAAGAAAACAGACTAACAGAGTTTAAGAAACTTTGCTTTGTGTCACCAGCTAGTAGGTGCTCAGGGTCAGTATTTAGAACAAAGGACTATCTGCTTTTAGAGCTTAAGATCGCAACCTTTCATTCCTCAACTGATTAAATGGGGCTGGTTCACTCACCACGTGCAAGGCAGGGTGCAAGCCCCGAGGGATACCAAATGGGTAAGAAACGGACCCTACTGTGCTACATTAATCAAGGACACACACAAAGAAATCCCCATAACATACTGGATTGGGTGGAAGGGTAACAAAAGTAGCTCCCGGGAAGGGAAGAATCACTCAAGATCCCCAAACCAGAGAGATAAAGCGGCAGCGTCAGGCACATGTGACGCCCGGAGGGCTGGGGCGAAACCGCGCGTGCCACACTGCGGGAACCGCGGCTGCGAGGAGCGGCAGGCGACAGGCCACAGGGGCCCTGGGCCATCACGGCGGGACAAGAGGGCTCCGCGAGCGCTGACCGGCCCTCCCGGCGGCGGCAGTGGTGGCCGCTGCATCCCAGCACAGTCACTGCCGTTGGCCAGGCCTCCCCGGTGCGTCGCCCAGCTGCACGCCCCAACGGCCCCGGCCGCAGCCTCCCGGGAAGGGACTGGGTCCGGGGAAGCGCTCGCTCGGCCCACCGCCCCGACAGGCCCGACTCCAGACGCCGAGGATCGGGCGGGGATTCCGAGGAGGGTCGCCGGCGCAGACGCCCAGCAGCCGGGCGCGAGGAGCTGGCCACGGAAAGCGCCGCAGGCTCGCGCTGCAGACGGATAAAAGAACATCGTGTGCAGCACAGGCCGACGCGGGCTCGGGAGACAGGCGGACGAGCATCCTTACCTCATGGCTGCTGGACTCCGCCGGCCATCCGCACGGCGCGGCCCCCTGGCGCTCTCCTCAGACCCGCGCCGCGGCGTGCGTGCGTGTGCGTGTGCGTGTGCGCGTGCGCGCGCTGCAGCCAGGCTCGTGGGGCTGGGACCCCGCCGCGCCGCGGCTTTTGTTACGCGAGGGATCGGAGCAGGAAAGGAAACTAGAAAGTGAATCTGAAGCAGGAGCGCCCAGGCCAGCTTCGGAGACCGAAACTTATCCGAGCAGCGGAAGAGCCTCCAGCCAGCCCGGGGTCGTTTGGAGTTGAATTTCCAGCTGGGCCTTTGCCCTTCACCTGCCTCTCTGGGTCAGTGTGCTGCTTCGTTATCCTTTGTTTTCTTTTTAAATAAAAATGACAGGAGATTGTTCAGCGCTATTTTTAAGTGTCGCAGGGATGCTCTGTCTAGCTTTCTACGTGCTCAGTGGAAACTGGTTTCTCTGCTTCCATTCCAGTCTTTTGATTCAACAAGCAACGTAGCAGTGCTGGGCACCTATGCTATTATTTGTGTTGGGTATATTTAAAATAGAGCAGTTTGGGTATCAAGATGTATGTATCTTTTAAGTTTTGGTAGATGCTGCCAAATAGCTTTACAAAGAGGCTTATACACTCCAACCCCCAACCGTAGGCAAATGCTTTTCTGTCACACCCTTGCCAATGGTGCTTTATGTAATAGGGTCCCCATAACGATGGGGGATGGCATTGGGAATCTAAGCAGAAAATGCCAAAAACCCATACATTAAAATTTTTGTCACGTCCGAATTAATTCATTCAACAGATTTTACTGAAGAATTGTTAAGAGCCAGAACTTACTGAAAGTACTGTCAATATGGCAATAAAGAAAACAGAAAAGGGCCTTACCCTTATTGAGTTAATGTCTGTATTCAGAACCTCAATATTCTGTCCATTATCGTGACCGGTTTTATAACAAAAGTTTACAATTCTCTAGTGTCTTAGCTTCCTCATGTTCCAAAGGAGTACTCATGTTCACATTAGTACTGAAGCAGGCAGCTAAGTGGCCTTGACTTGACAGGGATGAAACAGGGAGTGTCAGTTATCTCAGCCCCAGTGGCTTAACAATGGCAGTCTTAGAAAAAGTAGAGACGAGACAGAGATCTCAGTACAGATTACTGAACAGAACTTTGTAATTTTCTGTACACTGTTACGATGTCTTTGACTTTTTCACAGTAAACAGCAGAACCTCCTTGTAGCCCTGAGATAACGACAGTGCCTTACTCTACCACCAGAATGTTTAGAGAAACTCAAGATAAGCAATATGCCTCCCCAGATTGTGACCAACAGCCACTAAGCCCAGGCACAAGGCTAAAAGAATGAGCAGAATCAGCCCCTAACTCATTATAATACTAAGCTCCTCACCATGGGGAGAGATTTGTCCACCATTTTTTGTTCATGGGATGTATGACTAGCGTGCTTCCTCACTGCACTTGTGTGCCCTGCACTCCACCCCAAACATGCAATGGAGTTCACTCCCTTTATGCATTACTCATTTTCTCGTCCGTAAAACCCCTTGACCCTGCTAACTTGAGAGGTGGATTTAAGGTAGCTTGTGCCTGCGCTTCCTTGTTGAAGCATCATCTGAAATAAATCCTTTCCTCCTTGACAATCGTTGTTGTCTTAGTAATTGGTTTTCTGTGCTGTGAGCAATTGTGGTCCCCTCTTTTGTGGGTTCATTAATGTTATTCATCATTTACATTGATTTTGAATTTTTAAAAGCATATTGTATTAAGATATTGTCTATCTTGATCACTGAGCTTATGGCCCCGTTGCCCCCTAAATCTTAGACCCTGAGGCAGTGTCTCACTTAAGGCAATCATTTTTCATGCTTGGTTTACAGCTATACTAATAGAGAAATCACTGGTCAACTGTGCCTACTGAGGACTTGAATTTTTTAATCTAAGTTTAAAAACTTATGAGTTAATAGAAAAAACTTAGGAGGATATTTGGAAAAACTTAGATAAATTTACTTTTTTTAGTTGCAAATTTTATGAAATATAAATACAGATCAAGTATTCCTAACAAAAATTTAGCATTCAGTCTGTGATGTGCTCAGTCCTACCTTCTCAAAGACAATGGATGAAATTGGTATCAACTGAAAGGAGCAAAAATGATTGGTGCAAGTGGATTGGGACCCCCAAATTGGGGAATTTTCCTGTGGTGCTCTTTAGTAGTCAGAATAATAGCCCCACACAAAGATGTCCATGCCTGAATCCCAGGAATTGTGAACATGTTACTTTACATAACAAAAAGGAATTTGCAAATGTTATTAAATTAAGGATCTGGGGATGGGGAGGTTATCCTGTATTATGCAGGCAAGTCAAGTATAATTAATTGCAAGGGTCCCTATAAAAAAAAGAGGCAAAAGGAGTCAGAGAAGAGAAGGTGATGTGAAGAAAGAAGCAGAGAGAGATTTGAAGGTGCTTTGTTGTTGGCTTTGAAAATGAATGAAGGAGTCATTAGCCAGAGGGCAGGCAGCCTCTAGAAGCCAGAAAAGGCACAAAAAAAGCTGTTCCCTGGAGCCTTTGTGGGAGTGGAGGCAGTGTCAGTACTTTGACTTTGGCGCAGACATTTTAGACTTCTGACCTCCAGGACTGTAAGATACGAAATTTGTTAGGTTTTAAATAACCCAGTTTGTGGTGACTTGTTACTGCTGCAATAGGAAACGAATACATCATCCCCTAAAACGTACACAAGAATGAAAAATTGATGACATTGCTTTTTTAAGTTTTCCTTCCAACAATATTATTTGCTATGCGTGTCCTTTTAATCAAATGTGATTATTCATAATCAAAGACAATGGCTATAGATTGTCTCTCAAATCACTTAGCATCCCTTTCTTTTCTTTCTTTTTTTTTTTTTTTAGACAAGAGTCTCACTTTGTCACCCTTGGTAGAGTGCTGTGGCATCACAGCTCACAGCAACCTCACACTCTTGGGCTCAAGTGATTCTCTTGTCTCGGCCTCCCAAGTAGCTGAGGCTACAGATGCCCGCCACAACCCCCAGCTATTTTTAGAGCCTTGCTCTTTTTTTTTTTTTTTTTTTTTTAAGTAAAGAGGCAATATTTATTTGAAAATCAGGTAGCAAATACAGTTTTAGCTTTCCTTCATTACAAGAGCAGGTAAGTTATATTTTTCACTCCAAATAAATCCAAGTACTAGCTAGTAAATGACAGAATAAGAATTCAGATTTGACTGCCTGTGCCATTGTCTCCCTTTTTGACTCGAGTTAGGACTTAATCCCAACGAACTAAGACACAGCAAACATCCATCTGAGGTCTTTGGGATAGAGCCTCGCTCTTGCTCAGGCTGGTCTTCAACCCATGAGCTCAGGCAATCCACCTGCCTCAGCCTCCCAGAGTGCTAGGATTATAGGTGTGAGCCACTGTGCCCGGCTACATTGTTTTCTTATTCTTATACCTAGATCAATATCAGCAAATGACTTGACAAAATAGTGCTTCATATATAGTGGCATAAAATAGAAACTCCCGGGAACAATTTGATCCAGAATTATACAAATTATCTTCCTGGTGAAAGCTGACCTTTTAATTGTGTACTTATTTTAGTCTTTGTCCCTCATAGTAGGTCATAAATGGGATGAAGTTTAGTAAAAGTAACTGCCTCTTCACCTCAGTATTTTTGGTATCTAGCACTGAAAACTGTTGACAAACTGAATAAATTCAACATTTTACTGTTTATAAGTCTAATGTTTTATTTGCTACAAATCAATCCAGAAAGCTTTCTTCTACAGTATAGCATTCACACAAATGGTTTGTCTCTCTCTCAGACACACACATATTTTATTTAATTATGTAATTTTTTTAAGTCATAACTGTACATTAATGCGCTTATGGGGTACAATTTGCTAATTGGATATACAATGTGGAACACTTACATCAAACTTAACATAACCATCACCTCACTTACTTATTTGTTGTAGTAAGACATTTATACTCTATTCTTCATGGTTTTAAAGTGTATCATCGAGTTTCATTATTTTCTGAATACAAGTAATATTTTATCAGATTTGAGTAACTGTTTAAAAATTACATCATTACAGTGAATGATGATGATTCACTGGAAAGGATGATTAGTACATGTTAAATGTAAAAGTAAATGAAATGTGAAAGTGGCTGATATTTTAGTGCCTAGAAACCTCGTCCTAGTGAGTTTGCAGAATCAGCAGCCAGTCTCAGGGCCCGCTCATAGTACTCTACGGCTTCCTCCATATTTCCTTTCAATTTGTAGGCAAACCCAAGGATGCTTAAGCTTTCCAGGTCTGATGCATTTCTCTGAAGTCTCTTAAAAGCCAATTTCCTCAAAGAATTGATACTTTTATCCTTTGCAACTGAAGGGTCTCCTATTGTTATTGCTTTTAAATAATGGATAAGTGCATTGACTTCAGACTTCTTTTGAAATTCCTGAAATTGGCCATAGTAAAAATGTACCTCTTGCATTATTTCTCTAACCACTGGGTTCATGGTTAACACTTTTTGAAAAGTGTCTTCAGCTTTTCTATAATTGCCAGCTTCTATATACATTCTTGCCAGGTCTACATAAGCGATCTCAAATGTGGGCTTTATGTCCACAGCAAATTCAAAATGAGATATGGCTGATCTTATGATTCTGTCTGCCTTTTCCCTATCCTGCCCTCTAGGCTGTGAGTTTGTAGCCATGTTTATTTGGATCATTTGTCCCCTGTAGCAAATCCCTATCTGGTGATGCAGGAAGGCAGATGTGGGTGTTGCCTTCAAAGCTGACTGTAAGAGCTGAAGAGCTTTATCCAGATGGCCTCTTCTCCGGTAAAACTTGGCGGCATATCGAAAGACATAGGTCTGGGAGGACATGTTGGCCAGAGCTTCTTCTATGTACTTCTCTCCTTCGGCTTCCTGTCCTTCATCCTGAAGCTTCAGGGCAAGGAGCACCTTCACATATTGATCTTCTGGATTTAGCCTGACAGCTTGCCTTAGAGGGTGCAAAGAAAACTCCATGTGACCTTTTATTTTTGCCTTAAAGCCATCCAGGCGGTAGGCAGTGATTGCATACCCACTGCTAAACTCAGGGTTTTCAGGGTCCTTCTCCAGAGCCTTTTCAAAGCAGGCCTTGGCCCGTTCATAATTCTTTCCTCCGCACTTCAGCAAGGCCCATCCTTCCGCACAGTCCATCTCAGGACACTCCACTCTATAGCGGAAGAGATTTCCAAACTTCTGGCAAGTTTTCTCCACTTTGTTCAGGTATGTCTGGACTTGTGCCAGTCTGCCTATGTGGTAATACACCCAGGCAAAGTTGCCCCAGGTCACCAGACTTCGCAGGTCTGTTTGGTCAGGGTATTCTCTCTGGATTAAGTCTTCAGCTTCTTTTAGGCTCTCCAGGGCGTCCTCGTTCTGGCCTTTTAGGTGTTTCACATAGGCCAGTAAGTTATGTATTCCCACCTTTGCGTGTTTGCTGTCTAAGAACTCAATCTGATCTAAGACTCTGTTTTCCAAATCAGGCATTTCAGAGTCTTCAATTTGCAAGTCCCATGTGAAGTGACATCTCAGCTGAACCAGGCTATCCTTGACCTGCTGATCATCAGTGTTCTGGCTGCAAAAACAAAAGCAGATTTTCTTTCTTAGGTGAGAAACAGCCAAAAGAATAAAGCTGGATTATACACTTCGTATTTTAGAGAAACACTTTGTATTATTAGATAACTGCAAATTAAAACCATCCTGAGATATCATCTAACCCCAGCGAGAATGGCCTGTATCACAAAATCTCAAAACTGCGGATGCTGGTGTGGATGTGAGGAGAAAGGAATGCGTCTGCACTGCTGGTGGGACTGCAAACTAATACAACCTTTTTGGAAGGAAGTATGGAGAAACCGTAAAGAACTCAAGCTAGACCTCCCATTTGATCCTGCAATCCCATTACTGGGCATCTATCCAGAAGGAAAAAAAAAAAAAACCTTTTATTATAAAGACACTTGTACTAGGCTATTTATCGCAGCCCAATTTACAATCGCTAAAATGTGGAAACAGCCTAAATGTCCTTCAACCCAGGAATGGATTGGTAAGCTGTGGTATATGTATACCATGGGATATTATTCAGTCATCAAAAATAATGGAGATTTAACAGCATTTGTAATGACCTGGATGAAGGTGGAAAACATTAGTCTTAATGAAGCATCATAGGAATGGAGAAGTTTGTTATGAAGACAATGACAATGAATGACACGGTAGGACATGGGGGAAGGGGAGACCAGACAGAGAAGGAGGGAGGGGGTGTGGGCAAGGAAAAGAAAAAAGAGAAAGAAAATAGTGACTAATTCTCACATAAATTAGATTTAATTTTGACCAAAGTATACTACTTAAACATTCATTTTTAATTCAACATGTTAATATGTTGTTTATCATATTGCATCCTCATTTACAAGTGAAATATGTTTGTAATTTTCCCTTAATAATATATTTTCTCCAATTGTATTATCAGGTGTATCCAGATTAAGTAGAATGATTTTGAAGTATTTCTTTTTCTATTGTCTATAAGATTTGGCATGATCTGTTTTTTTGAAATTATCTTTTACTTTTATTTAGAAATACTAGTTGTCTATTTTTTTAGATTTTGGAAAAAATAAGAAGAAGTTGTTAACTGATCAAAGTATTCTATAATGGACATACTCCTATCTGACATTGTGAATGTTACTTTTTTTGCATTATTATTGTTGCTTAATATTTCATTACAGCAATTGTCTGATTTCTTTTCTGAATGTATTTATCTTCTTTGTTCTTTATGAGGTTTTTGTTCTCAGTCCTTATGTTAAACATTGATATTGTTATTAAATTTAGCTTTTTAATTCTGTGGGAAAAAAAGATGGTTAAAACACTTTGTACTTTAGAGCTACTCTTGTATTTTAGTGGTACAACAACAGCGTGTGTTATGGTTCTGACATTTTTTTACACGAGTGAACTTATGGAACCACAGCCTTAATCAAGACACAGAATTACTCTGTCACCACCATATCTCCCCAATACTAACCCTTAAGGGTCACATCTGTCACCTCCTCACCTGTACCCCTTAAACATCCCTAGCCCTAAACCACTAATAGTTCTTCTTTGTGTTTATAATTTTGTCATTTCAAGAATGTCATATAAAAGGGGAATAATATACAAGAGTAGTTTAATGTACAAAAATTAATCAGTGTGCTACACCACATTAATGAAAGAATTATAAAGAAACCACATGATCCTATCAATTGATCCAGAAAAGGCATTTGACAAAATTCAGTACCCTTTTATGATAATAACACTCAATAAACTACTACTAGAAAGAAACTACTTCAACACAAACTCCCAAGCTCAAGAAATCCACCTGCCTTGGCCTCCCAGAGTGCTGGGATTGTAGGAAATCCTTAACCTGGGAAGAAGTTTGGATCAGGTGTATTGGTAAGGTCAACCCCTGCAAGGCATCAACCACGTGTAAGCTTTGTGTTCCACCTGCTTATGTTGCTTGGCAATAACTTTGTATTCTAAGGGCAATGGGCAATACCACATAGCTTAGCGTGTGGTAGGCTATCCTATCTAGGTTGGTGTAAGCACACTGTATGATGTTTGCACAATGATGAAGTCACCTAAGATTCATTTTTTAGAATGTAACCCTATTGTTAAGTAATGTGTGAGAGTGTGTAAAGACCTGCCTATGAAGAAATGTACAGATTTCTCTCGAAGATTAAATGTGATAATTAACACAATACTTTTAGAAGCCCGGCTCGTGCTTAATAAGCATCCAAGAAGCGCTAGCTACTTTTAGAACATTTATTATTATTTTATTATGATTTTATTTACCAGTAATAACTCTGTTTATGAAGGAGGGTTGATGATAGGCCTGTAACTGTGCATTTTCTGGAAATTTTGCCCCTTTAGAGTTTTGTCCACTGAGCACTGAGAGGAAATTTGTCAGTCAACATTAATTAATATTTTTTTATCAGCTGATATCAGGGGTTATTTGCATTAAGATTCAGTTTGGACAATATAGAAATTCCCACATGAGGCCCCTTAGGTAAGGAGGACACGAGTGTTCCCAAGCACTGAGTTCCAGCCAAGACCTATGGAAAGGAGGATGTCGGGGATCTGCTGGGTGCCTGGCTCTTCCAGGGAGGAGGTAATCAGCTAATTGTAAATCCAGTAGGACTGAGAAGGCCTAACACAGGAACCAAAAGTGAGACCAAAAGCCTATGAGAGAGGCAGGCCTGGAGTTTCTCCCACCACATCCCCATAGTGTCTCCCTCAAGATACCTGAGAGGCTCCAAGATTGTGGCTTTCCCAGTTGTGTGGGTCCTGCTTTTTCTCCATGATGAGAAGGCACAAAAAGAACCATCTCTACATAGTCTAACCTGTCCATTCCTTGCCCAGATCAGATGGAGTAAAACTGGTGGCAGTGAAACTCCGATAGTGGAATCATTTTCTTCCTTTCTGCAAAACTCTTTTCCCATTTCCCTCCCCTTTTTGGGCTTTAGCATGAGTTAAGTTTCCTCAGGCTCATGCTAACAAAAATAAAAAAGCATTAATACAGCAATGTTTGTGTGAATGTGCACACACTCAAGCCCCCCCCCCCCACCCACACACACCCACACATTCAGTCCATAAGCTAGAAAATGTGGCCTTCGCTGAGACCAAACCTGCTGAGATAGTATTTGATTAACATTTTTTCAGAAGCTTTAGACATTATGGCAACAAACACAGAAATCCTTACCTCATGGTTGCTGTGACTGGGCAGCAATTGTGCAGTTTTTGTGTAGACGGGTGGGCTCCCCTGAGGTCTGGCCAGTCGGTCTCCTGGATTTGCAGAGAAGTTTAAGCCCTGGGACAGGGATATATAAAGGAGCTAACCAGCAGCTAATGATGTCAGCTGTGGGTGTGTCATTGCAAGGAAAAGTGGAAATGGAAAGTGAAACTTAAGCTAACAGAACAGGGATGGTTTTCTTCATTCTGTTTTGAAAAAATGACTGTAAGGAGACAGATGAAACCAGTTTGACTGATATGCTAATTCTTCTCTCCTGGTCTTGGAGAAAGCTGGGAGCTGGGACATGCCAGTTAATGCAGAATCCACTAACCTGTGAAAATCTTCCGTGTGCACCTGAAGAGTCATACCATTCCTTCTGTGCCTCTGTCTGCTTGCCAGGAACCATGGAGTGTTTATTTTATGGTATAAAATTCTGTAAATGTGTGAACAGGAGTCTTAACTTAAATGTGCTGCCATTCTCTGAGAAGTTGTATCTTACTAATTACTCTATGCCTTTGCTTACCTTTTATAACAGAGCTGCCACACCTCTTCCCATAGATGTGAAAGTATACATTTGAGAGTGGAGAATATGTAACAGAGGAAATGGTCTGCAAAAAAAAAACCTGCAAAAGTGTTTTCGGTCTCTTTTTTGGACACTGAGAACTGCATCCCCTGGGAATGGTCGGGAGAGACAGGAAAATGTCTTTTGTTCTTTGTAATAAAGAAGACGGGCCTGGAGGCTGATGTCTGGCTGGTGCCTGGCTGGCAAGGTGTATAGACCCCTGGGCGGGTAGAGGTCAGTGTTTGGCTTCAGAGATGGGATGCTAAGAATTATTAACTGTAGTTGAATGAAAGTAGGTCTTCCTTTTTTGAGACAGAGTCTCACTGTGTTGCATAGAGTAGAGTGCCATTGCATCAGCCTGGCTCATAGCAACCTTGAACTGCTGGGCTCAAGGGATCATCTTCCTTCCCAGACTCCCGGGTAGCTGGGAGTACAGGCGCCTGCCACAACGCCTCGCTAATTTTTCTATTTTAAATAGAGACATGGTCTTGTTCTTGCTCAGGCTGGTCTCAAACTCCTAAGCTCAAAGGAGTGCTAGAATTACAGGAGTGAGCCACTGTAGCCAAGTCCCCTTGAAAAGCTCCGTGTTTCTGCTTATGTTCAGGAAAAATCCGTGTTGTGAGACAAACAGCTTGCCATTTTTCCTCCTTTGCCAGCAAACTAACAAATCTCCCTTTCTTTCTCAAAAACCACTTGTATTTGTTTTTTCTGATGTGGCCTCAGGAACAAGTATGGTACTTTTGCTAACACCTTCTGGAGAATGGTCAATGACAATAAGCAGCTTGTAACCCCTTCCTTATTCATAGCAATGGAAAGTATGTATGTGTGAGCATCTTGAGTCTTCAAACGAAACGTTAGGCCTAATGGAAATGTTTTTTCTTATTTTTAGTGGTCTCTATTGTAGCCATGTAGGTTTTCTGATTCACCACAAATGATTATTGTAGACATGAAAGATTTTCATTGCTGTGTCCCATCCTCTTGGTGCCACGACACCCTGGTTTAGCCAACCTCAAACTGGTCCAGGTCATTTTCTGGGCTCATGGTAAGAGGGTAAGAAGAATAAGGCTGTGCTGAGACCAAGATCCTGAGGACAGTTTTGGTTCTTCTTATTGATGTCTTCCAAGCTTCTCCTTCTCCCTACTTTATGCCAGAAATGACTCCACTCTTCTGATACATGTGATATCTCTAGTAGCTTATGCAAAGCAAACTTATCCCCAGCCACAGTTAATTTAATCATAGGAAATCTCCTTATTGAGAAGAAACACTCATACTTGCTTCCCTGGAAAGCTGAATATGGAAAGTGTTGGACCTGAAATATATATATTTGGGTGCCATTGTTAACTGTGAGTTTCCATGTAGCCTGATAGTAATAAAGACAGAGATAGCTTATTCACAGACAGGAAAAAAAAAAAAGGTAATATCAAGGAATCTGTGAGCTGTAAGAAATGGAGCATTAGAGTTAAGAGGTAGAAACTTCTGAAAGAGATGACCATACCTTAGTCCATAACTGTACTGTCAAGAGTCAAGAAGCAAAGACCATGGGCAGGGTTTAAGGGGCTACCAGGTGAATAATGAGTGGCATGAAACCAGGTTTCCATGAACTGTAGATCTGGGACCATCAGTGTTTCTTGAGCTACAGAAACCCAGCAACTGGCCAGCATTTGGAACCAGATCAACTTCAGACCTTAAAGAAAGGCATCAGTCTATTGTGGAAATTGGTGGCAGGATTCTGGATGACTGCACAAAAGGGAAATTGAGGGACCTCATAGCTCTATTTTCAGTTAGCTTCTTGTATATAAAAAAGAAGCCTGCTAAAAATATGTACAGATCTACTCCTGAGTAAATAACAAGAGTTTTGGGTGTTACTTTTTGTTTTAGCTTGTCAAAAGGAACAGCCAACCTGGTTTAGGAATGAAGAAAAGAGGCCAATACTAAAAAAGCTCCCTAACCCCTGATCATTTGGGTAGGAGGTAAAAGCCAGGTGCTATGGATTGGAGCCCTCTATTCCTGCAGCGTGGATACCCATATTCCAAATCAAAGCCCAGCTCAACCTCAACTATGTTCATGGAATTTGAGTTTAAATACCTAGCAACACGACTAGTATAATAATCATCATTATTATGATTATTGTCATTTATCCAGTTAAAAATCATCCTTCTTTTTAACAGAGTTATCTACTTTGTCTTTTAAGATAAGACGCAAAAGAAGAGTAAGTGCAAGAATGTTTTCCTCCTAGAAACACTAACCTGGATGCGTTGCCAGATCTAAATCATTTCCGCTCACTCCCCTGCCTGGCTCCTCTGCCACCTCACCGATTCCATCAGTTTCCAGACCCATCCAGAGCTAGTTAGAACATTCTACACAAATAAGGACTTCTTAATTAACAAAATAGCTTTTATCATGTACTTAGATAAATGTTCTGGCTATAAGCAAATGCAGAAATAAATGAATTAGAAAACTTCTCTTTTATGAGAGCAGCATGTATTTAGAATTCTTAGAGAAAGAAACAATTAGACTCTCAATTTCCCAGCATGTAGAAAAGGGAACAAAGTGAGTTTTTTGTTGTTTTGCTTTTTTTTTTTTTTTGTCATTGCTGTGGATTTGGCAGCACTCCTGGCTCTATGGGGCGCTGGCCCATGCTGATTAGGTGTTCAGAATAGTGTTCAGTGTCTCTTGGGGATAAACAGACCCATGAGTGACACAGATCAGAGCAGCATTAAGGAGAAAGGAAACAGCCAACAAAGTGTTTATGTGTATGTGTATTTAGAGATAAGAAAGAAAACAGAAAGTGGAGAACATGAAACTTTTAGAAAATGAAATGTTAGCACCAAGCTGTGAGTCCATTCTCAGAAGTCTAAGACCAGCTCTCCAAATGACTGACCAGTTATGATAAAATTACTTCACCTCTATGAACCTCAGTTTCCCTGGCCAATAAACAAGTTATTTGGAATAGATTGGCAGATCTCAATCCTTATTGTGCATTACAACTCTTACTGGAATTTGTCTGCCAGATCCCAGGTCTCAGGAAATAGAAGCGTGAATTCTCAGACCACAAGTAAGTGACAGGATAGATTTTGTTATAGATAAGAGAAGAAGCAAAGCCTCTGGTACAGTAGAGGGGTCCCCAGTGGGTTGCTGAATTGGGCTCTCTGTCTAGGAGAGAAACTGTCTAGTTTATATACAGTTTGAATCATATCTCTTTTCCTGCAAGCAGGGAGTTTGGCGGGAAATGGAATGTAAAAAATGTCCAAAATAATGTGTCACAGCTGTTGGCATCAAAGGCCTGTGGGCAGGAGTTAATTTTGAAAGTGCCACTGTGTAGGAACGTGGTCATTTTTTGGCTGTTCCGCTTTTCCCAGGGAGTGGTGGCTGAGATGGAACATTGATCAAACTTGTTTATGAGCCTGATTAGGGCCAGAAAATGGAATCTGTATCCAGCCCTGAGTAGAGGATAGGGGTGGGGACTGCATCAGAATCATCTGGGGAGTTTTTAGAAATAAGGCTAACTAGGTCCCTTCCCAGACCAATTGAACACATCTCTAGAAATGGGTGGACAGCGCGGTGTGAGAAAGAAACCCTCGGTTGATTTGATGTACACCTGGGCTGGGAACCAGGGCATAGACCCTGGTGTCTACTGTGTGGCTAAAATTCTGTGGTTGAGTGATCTGGGAGTCAATCCCTGCATCCACTTGCCTGCCTTTCTTTCTTTTTTTTTTTTCAGTTTTTGGCTGGCGCTGGCTTTGAACCCACCACTTCCAGCACATGGGGCTGGTGCCCTAGTTCTTGAGCCACAGGCACCACCCTCCACTTGCCCTTCTTTGAGGCCCAGATTCGGATCTTCATTACTCTGTCCTGTTTCCTACATAGCCGGTATCAAATTCCCTGGTCTCTTTTTGATTCACAGGATGGCATGGAAAAAGAATCTAATTCTGAGGGTTTTTTTTTTTATAGTTATAATGGATAGTTGCTGAGTCAGTTCTTTCAAATATCGAGTCACAATTTACTAAGATATGTGTATGATACAAGTTTTCTCTATTTTTTTCAAGGCTTTCAATTGCAATGGTAGGGGCAAGAGAAAGCTTGCCCTTTCCCCCCAGGGAGTTAGCTAAGAGATCAACTCACAGTGAAGGCAGATTAATAAGAGAAATGTTTATTTCCAAATACCGTGTGCATGGGGAGAATCACAAGATTACCCAATGTCTCAGTGATGGTCAGATTCCTTTATAGATGCCTTTTAGAAATGTGGAGTATTGGTACGGTAAACGGAAGCTAAGGAGGATGAATCGATGGGGGAAGCAAATTGACTTGTACTTAACTGGAGAGACAGATATTGTGTTTTTAATGATTTGAGCCAATTCAGGGAGAAGAAAGGAAATCTGTTGTCCCCCTTTCATATTTTTATCAGATCAGTCAGGTTTTATGGAGATAGAGGGAAAGCCCCTTCCAAATACTTTCTGATTTCGAATGGCCTTTAATTCAAATTATTCTTTATGCCAGGTAGTCAT